TTTGCATAGCTGCTTACGGGGCCCGAACCTTTCGGGAGGATCTTCGGGCCTTGTGTTTAGAGCTTGGAGTTTGGGCCATGGTCTCAAGACTCACATGGTTCCGACATACGATTCCCTGATCTACAGAACCTCCTTGCAACATGAGTGCTCACTGCTCGGAACAGGGTCTGCGACGGCAGGGAGCCAACAAAGCATTGTAATGAGCCCCTCAGCCCTTATTCCTCAACCGAAAACACCGGATAAACCCCACACCCTAAACAGGCCTGAGTCCCCTCAACCGCAGACTTGAATACGCTAGACCCTCTACTTGCAGGTTCATGGGTAGCTATAAGCAGGGTTTTTAGTAGGGTAACTATACTTGTAACCCATATTAGGGGACTTACAACCCCACTTATAACTACCCCTGAACCTCCAAGTACCCTCAGCCCCAACACGCAAAGCCCAAGCCCACTAGGCCATGAGCCCTCAACCCCAACTGCCGAGCCGTATCGGCTCTGAGCCTTTAACTCCAACCCTCAAACCCCAACACCCAAAGTAGATCTTGAGCCCTCAACTCTAAGCCTGAGTGCAAAGCCTAACCTCCAAAGCCTAAACTTTAGCCCTAAACGCCAAAGTCTGACCCCTTGACTCCCTCCTACATCTTGAGCCCGAATTGTTGACCAGCAAAAACTCGAAACCCTGATAAACCTTGGACCCTCAAACCGTCAAAATTGCCAAGACGTCCGGCCCCTGACACGACCAGTAAAAGCAGGCGTCATCCCATCTTGCGTCGCGGTAAAAAGCGTCTTCTCCTTGTCAATGTTTCGGGTTTAGCTTTTCTTCCTAGGATACCCAGTAACCTAAGAATAAAAAGGCCTCTCTTTTTGGTATTGGGTAACTTTATAAGGAACCTAGGACTACAAAAAGGGAATAAGGGTACTACTGGGCATCATAGCTTCGGATCCCGAAACCCTAAATCCTGGAGGGGCGGGGGTCCAGTTTGCGGGTCTTTAACCCCAAACCCTACCCCTCCATGTTTCCAGGGCCGCGGTCCCTGTTTTGTGCTGTAATGTAGGGGCCTGAATACCTTAGAATAGGGTTTTGGGGGTTTTTATGATACTATAACTATAACAAGGAACCCGCACACAATAGTTTTGGTACTGAAAGAGGCCCCTATTTTGGATTCTCATAGCCCCTGTAGTAGCCCTTGTAGACCCCTTTAATGAACCCTTATAGAACCGCTATAGGCCCCTATACTACTGTGGAGGATCTCGGGCTTCTATGGGCGGGTTTCGACGGTTTGGTTCATTGAGGATCGGAGGTGGCTGCAGCTACAAAGAGCTTCATAACGTCTCTTGATAGGGTTCAGGGGTTAGGGGTTTAGGGGTTTAGGGGTTTAAGGGTCTAGGGGTTTAGGGGTTTAGGGTTTAGGGTTTAAGGGTTTAGGGGTTTAGGGTTTTGGGGTTAAGGGTTTAGGGAGCTTCATGAAGTCCCTTGATAGGCATATCTGAGGTTTCGAAGCCCATCTTTCCTTGCAGGGTTTGGGTTTGCAAGGATCTTGCGGATTTAGGATGGGGTTTGGCGGGCTGGAGGGCCTTAGGTTCTACTGGTTTAGGGTACGGTTTCACATTGGTCTTTATACCATTAGTTCAGACTGGGATATCACAAGTTGCCATTGCATCTAGCTAATCGAACCCGTTACTGAAAAAGAGGACTGCTATGGTGTTTCGAGTCAACAAGGAAAAAGGACACGTACCAGAGCTAAAGCCTCGAATTCAACCAGCAAAAAGCCTGTCACAGATTTGCTCACGGCATGAGATGCCCACCACAGAAGGCTTTGTTACCTTAGACCCAAAAACCCCAAACGCCTACATCCCCTATTCCAGCTCCCTATTTCCTGAACCTCCAAGCCCTCTGTAACCAACGGAGACCCAGCCGCCAAAAAGACTGTCGACATCGCAGGAGACGCCCCCCCGGTTGCGCGGGTTGGAGCAGCATTCCAGGCTGCCTGCATTTGAGGGTCTTGGCCGGTAACCCACTGCGAAAAAGCGAAAAAGTACACCACTGAACAAGCTAGTGTTTCGACGGGAGGCTGGACAAACGCGACTCCAGATGCATATTTGGTCGCCACCAAAGCCCCAAGGGTGTAAGCGGAACCCCTGACGAACTTTTGGCCCTAGAGCTCTTGCGGTTCAGGATTGAAGGATATTCCGTTGTTCCGTCGATTGTAGATCCCGAGGGATGCCAGCACCCATTCCGGAGCGAAAACCGTGGACCTTTCACAAAAAAAACTAAGGGCCAGCAAAGGTCGCATGCCGGTTTGGAATCATGTAGAGGCCCAGACCCTAAACCCTGAAAAGGGAGCAAACACCCAGCAGAGTCGATCCCTGTAAAGTAGGCTCAGTTCTCAGAACGGAGATCGACTGGGGCAGGATACAAGGGTCATCAACAAATTCGAGCAACTTTTTGGAAATATCATATTCAACAATTATACGGGGCCCGAATATAGGGACTAAACAGTGGATACTAGCACCAATGATTTGGGCCCGTGAGTAGGCATACTCGGCACCTGCTCTGCCACGTGGGTGGTTGTCAAAATTATGGCCCCTGTTTTGGGTACCCTAAATATTAGGTGCCGGCCGTACTATAATAGGGACCCATAAAGGGACCCTAATTCTGACAACCACCCACATGAGAACTGTTGCCACGCTGTGGTCTGACCGGCTATGGAACATCAGCCTTTCTGATGTTAACCAGCTTGTGCACGTCTGCAAAGCTGCACTATTTCAAAGGGGACAAGGAGGGACCCTTAATAAGGACCCCTAGGTATATACCCTTATTATAGCTATTATATACCCATTATATAGCCGCCCATTATAGGTTAGGGGTCCCCATTAAGGGTCCCTCCCTTTCCCCTTTGACTGTTGGTACAGTCAAGGTCGAAGCCGAAAGAGTCACGGGCTTAGGGCAAATCATGAGACGACGACTACGACTAGTACTGCTTCTACTCCTGGTACTACTGGTACTACGAGTACTACAACGGAATTACGATGACAAGAAGAAGAATTGCAAACCATTTTCATGGCCAGGATCATGGCCATAATGATACCATAACCGTCATCATCGTCGTCGTCATAGTAGAGTCACAGTCACATTTAGAGTCATAGTCCGCCAACTAGCTTTCGTCGAGCTGCTGCCCAGTCCCATAGCCGCGAGGCTGCGGTCGGCGCTTTGTCGCCCCCCGGGCGCGAAGGCGCGAGAAGAGGGGACGAGACCGCTGGGACTCTGTAGGCGTCTGTGATGCTTTAAGGCTTTAAGTGTACGGCGCAATCTAGGTATGCTCAACCTTACGCACGAGTCTTTTTGGTGAAATGGCTGAAAAAGGAGATGGGAGTTCAAAGCAAGGCCCCGTTCTTGCAAGTCATGATTGAGCTTTAGGGCTGAAATCAACGTAACGGCAGGTAACGACTCCTGTTCCTGTCTTGTAAGCAGATATGTCTGAAAGCGCCCTCATTTGATCACACCTGGGCCAAAGACATCACGGTACAGCATAAAGCTTCCCGCTTCACGGTTTAGGTTTTGGGTTTAGGGTTTTGGGCTTTGGGGTTTTAGGGTTTAGGGTTTTAGGGTTTTCGGGTTTAGGGTTTTGGTTTAGGGTTTAGGGTTCAGGTTTAGGGTTTAGGGGTGAGTCTACACATCCATGGCAAAGTGACACGTGGATTGTGGGAAAGGCTTGGGTAGTGCAGACTAATGCAGCCGGATTCTTCACATTTAGGGGCTTCGGGTTTAGGGCGATCAGGGGTTTGAAAACTACAGCCCAACGTCGAGCCCTGATTCAAAGACCTCCCTGCACTCATGAAGGGCCTTAGTCGCAGGCATCTTCTTCTGCCCTAAACCCTGAACCCTAAACCCTAAACCCTAGATCCGTATCAAAGGGGAAAAGGAGGGACCCTTAATAAGGACCCCTAGGTATATACCCTTACTATAGCTATTATATACCCATTGTATAGCCCATTATAGGGTGGGGGTGGGGGTCCCCATTAAGGGTCCCTCCTTTTCCCCTTTGACCGTACCCTTACAAACCCTGGGCTGACGCAAAAGAGCGCTAATGCCTGTACTACAGGGGGCCTTACTAATTCGAACAGGGCCTTGGGGCCCATTATACTACCTATGGTATTTATTGTAGTTCCTTTTTTTGGTTTAGCCAGTTATATATCAAGGATCCTAAAAGGAAACCCCAAAAGGGAACTACAATGGAGACTACAGGTATAGCTATAATAAGGAACCCCCAAACAAAATGGTATAGGCAATTATTTAAGCCTTATAGTAGATCGCCTGGCCCGATTTCGAGTTGACGGGATTGGCATGGGCGTGGGCGAACAGAGGCTTACTTAGAGGTTCATGGGTAGTTATAAGTCGGGTTATAAGTCCCCTAATATGGGCTACAAGTATAGTTACCCTACTTATAACCCTACTTACAACTAATTACCCATGAACCTCCAAGTACTGCAGGGTCTTCAGTAAGCGAGTGCACACACAAGGTGGCATCAAGCTGAACACAGCAACACACAAGCAACCATAGGTTGCACCCGACACCACTTGGAGGTTCATGGGTAGCTATAAGCAGGATTATAAGTAGGGTAACTATACCCATAACCCATATTAGGGTACTTTATTAGGGTACTTATAACCCCACTTACAACAACCCACGAACCTCCAAGCATCAAAGAAGTCAACCCCAAAATCCTGCAGAATCGTCATCTCCCGGCCGTACCCCCGTGCCCTGAAAATATCTTCAACTCAGCACAACGCTGGCAAAAGGAAGGAGCCTGAACTTGAAACATAATATAGGGGCCTTAATACTTAGAATAGGGTTTTGGGCCCCATTATACTATACTTATAATAAGGAACCACCAAAATAGTATTAGTGATTTTTTCGGCTCCCGTATTAGGGCTTGGGGTTTCGGGACGTCCGGGGTCTCGAACCCCAAACTCTCTCAAAACCCCTGCAGGGGCGCGGCTTGCAAGTGGCAGCTCACCAGGTGCGGCTTGCGGACCTGAAAACTCGATTTGGGAGTTTCCACCTAAGGGTTGCTGTAAGGGTACTATAAGGGTTCCTGTAAAGTTAAAGGGCTCTATTGGGGTGCAGAGCTTCCGAAAATCAGGGACCCTAATTTTATACCCTAAACAGTAGGATCCTTATTCTATATAAGGACCCCAAACTTTAGAGGGTACCCCTAATTTCCGGAAACTCCCATTTGAGGTCTAGCTCGGACGGATCAGAATCCCGCGATTATGGGCTAGGCAGGCAAACCCGCAGAAGGGTTGTTGCAGAATCCTCAATCACACGCACACACACACACACACAAAGTGAATGAGCAGATTCAGAACCTCGTCCATCGCCTGCACTGCCGCAGCCGAGGAAGTTCGCTCAGTCAAGTCTGCAATCTGGGCCAGATGATACACGGCACTGCCCGACATGGGGGGAGCCGCTCGCTGCATCAACCGCGTCGAGGCCTTGACAGACGTTGTCGAATGCCGCACGCAACAGGTGGTCTTGGCGAGCCAGTGACGCCAGGACGACTGACGCGCCCGCCATGCTAGATACAACTCTCCTCCGCGGCGTTTGAGCCGCGAATGCATCTCGGCTGGCACCTGCGGCGGGCCGGAATCTCTGCTGCCCAGGCCAGGTGGAGGTGGCAGCTGTGGGCGAGCGAAAACGGGTCACCTGCGCATCCTCTAGCTTCCGGGTTTAGGGTTTAGGGTTCAGGATTCAGAGCTCAGGGTTTAGGGTTTAGGGTTCAGGGTTCAGAGCTCAGGGCTTATGGTCCAGGGATCTGAACCCAGAAAACCCCAACCCGCTAGATCAACAGCCATGCGAAGACGGATAGTCGCGTCGTAACAACCCAAAAAATGTTAAGAATCAGCAGTAGTGACAAGAATGACAGCACCAGCAACGACCACAACAACGACAATAAACTGAATGATGACAATCCTGGGGATAACAAATATCACTACAGTAAAAAGAAGGTCATATCGTCAGGAAGTTTCACATACCATACCAAATCCTATGCAGAAGCCTGGTTTCGCATCGGGTCTTCAGATTGTACATTTAAACTATTCAAGCCCAGCATGCACGAGTACACAGCCCCAAATAATCGAGCCAGAGTGAATCCAGAAATCCGCCGGCAGTAGAGTGGGCCACCACAGCGTGCAGCACGATGCTACTCTTCAGGGTTGCTGGATGCCTCAACCTCTTAAACCCCAACCCCAACACCTGAACCCCAAATCCTAGCCCCACAGGCGAAACCCCCAGACCGAAATCCCAGACCCTGAACCGCCAAAACCCCAAACCTAAACTCCAAACCCGAACCCCAAACCCCAAAACCCCTACAACTCAACCCTGAGCCCTAAACCCTAAGCCCAAAACCCTAAACCCCTAAGCCCCCTAAGCCCCTAAACCACTAAACCCCTAAGCCCCTAAACCCCGAAATGGGACTTTCCGAAAATAGGGGACCCTAATATGGTACCCTAAATAGTAGGATCCTTTCTATAAGGGCCCCCAAAATAAGGTACCCCTAATTTTCGGAAACTCCGAAATCTCTCTCGACCCTGAAGTCTGAGGGCGGCGCGGAGGACGAAGGCGGAACCTGGGAGCCGACAAAAGGCAGCGGAAGGTCGGGGGAGGGGGCCCTTTTTAAGGGCTCCTACCAGGGCTTAGGGTTGAGGGTTGAGGGTTTAGGGTTTAGGGTTTAGGGATTTAGGGTTTAGGGTTTAGGGTTTAGGGATTTAGGGTTTAGGGTGTAGGGTTTAGGGTTTAGGGTTTAGGGATTAGGGTTTAGGGATTTAGGGTTTAGTGTAGGGTTTAGGGTTTGGGGTTGAGGGTTTGGGGTTGAGGGTTGAGGGGTTCCCTTAAGGCTGTATATATATATATATACATATATAATGCATAAGGATTCCTTGAAGGGTTCCTTCAATATGAGGGTTCTCCTCTTTAAAGTTTCTGTTGGCATTCCTAGAAAGGTTCAGGGCTTCATACAGGGGTTCCACAAGTATGGTCGTGGACTTGTGAGCTTCTGCTATGTTCGCGGGAATCGGAATCGAGCAAAACAGCTCGTGGTCGAAATTCCTTGTCTCGAATTTTTCGCGCTGGGTGCTCCGGTTGATGATATAAATCCTGCATTACCCATCATAAGGAATATGCCATAATTCCCATAGCTTAGGGTCCTTAAGGTAATGCAGGATTTATACCATCAACCGTCTCACACTGCAGGGTTTTGCTAGACGGCAGTCTAGAACAAAACCAAGGCTGAGAGATCTTTTGGGCCAGCATCTAGGCTTCAAGGCTCTCTGTAAATGCTCCATCCCAGGCCCTAGACCCAGAAAACGTAACCCCTACTTAAAGGATCATGGGACTTAGTAACTAGGGTTATGATTAGGGTAACTATACTTATAGCTACTTATAACCCCAAGTAAGGTACTTATAACCTAACTTACTAAGTCCCATGATCCTCCAAGTACACCTTCAGCATCAACCTGGAGAGTCTGAGGCTCGCGGTTCCGGTATCCGCTCGGAGGTTCACACACCCGACTATGGCCTCCTTGGTGAGGGCAAGGGCAGAACTGCTTCAATCCGAAGGTTTAGGGTTGGGGGTTTAGGGGTTTAAGGTCCCTAAACCCTAAACCCTAAACCCTGAACCCTAGACCCTAAACCTCAAACCCTAATCCCTAATCCCTAAACCCTGAGCCCTAAACCCTTAACCCTAAACCCTAAACCCTACATAAACCCTAAAGGCCCTAGAGGTGACGAGGAGCCTGAATCCCCACAGCACAGCAGCTTCGCATCCGAAGAGGAAGCCTCACTTCGCGGCAGAACCCGGGCTTCAGGCGTACGCCCCGCTTCGATCATTGAAAACCCCGCAAACCTGGAAATATGTACATTACGGAGACATGGTGTACATATATATATATATATATATATATATATATATATATATATATATATATATATATATATATATATATATATATATATATACAATATCATATTGTATGTGTATATATATATATATATATGTATATATAGAGACATGAACGCACCAATCCAAACAAAATACTACTGAACCCTCACACGAAAATCCTGATCCCTTCGCTTCGTAGGTCTCGATTGGGGGAGCATTTGCAACATCATGCAGGCTGCTGATCAATCCAGCCCGCTCCCCCCCCCCCTCCATCCTCCATCTTCCAAGGATCACGATGCAGTTTGGGTCTCTAAACCCTAAACCCTAAATTGAAGGACGGTGGGTTGTTCTTAAGGGCTTGCGTTGGGGCTTAGGGTCTGGGACCCTACGGCCCAAGGCCTACAGCTTTCCGAGCCAGCACTTGGAGGTTCATGGGTAGTTATAAGTGGGGTTATAAGTAGGGTTCCTTTAAAGGGATCTATAGGGTTATAGGGTTTAGGGATTAAGGTTTAGGGTAGTTATAAGTGGGGTTATAAGTAGGGTAACTATACTTATAACCCATATTAGTGGACTTATAGCCCTACTTATAACTACCCATGAACCTCCAAGCATACGTTATCGGGGTCCCTGTAAACCTGCGAGCGAAGTACTGTTTTTGGACGGTTTAGAGGGTTTAGGGCCTTTAGGGTTTAGGGTTTAAGGTGCGTGGACTCCTCCAGCACTGGATGCCTTACACAGAATCCTATCCAGTTCAAGCTCAGTTGATCAGATCTGTTGCTGCGCTGCACGTTGCCGGATCCAAACCCTTTCTGCCGTGCACTTTGGGCAGAGGCTACCCCCTTTGTCAATGCCTTCATCCTACGCGCCCAAGATCCTATCCCTAGCTGCGTACCCTAAACATGCCTGAAACCCGTGAGCCCTGAACCTGGCGAAAGAGAAAGTCTTCCTGTTATGGCTTCGCTTACTTGGAGGTTCATGGGTAGTTATAAGTAGGGCTATAAGTCCACTAATATGGGTTATAAGTATAGTTACCCTACTTATAACCCCACTTATAACTACCCATGAACCTCCAAGTAGTCAGCACCATGCGTGTGCAAAGTTGAAGGCATGATTGCTCAAGTCTGGCGCATTGTCGATGTTTCCCGACGAAAGAGCAAAGCCGTTTATGAACATGTCCAAGTCTCTTCATGCTGCAACCTGCAAACCTTGCATTTCTGACTCCTGCGAGCCCAGAACCCCTTGCTTACACCCTAGACTAGAGACATGACAAGAGTCCTGAACCCTTAAAAACTGAGAGCCCTCAAGGTACTAGAGAGGCCTGGATAATGAGAACATGGCTTGGGCGCCCACTAAAACTACTATAGGTATAACAAGGAACCCCCAAAGTAGCATTGGTACTATTTAGGCCCCCATACTAAATCCTTATAATAGCCCTCAGAGTAGCCCTTATAGTAGGCCTTATAGACCCCTTTACAGGAACCCTTACAGAACCCCTATAGACGTTTCAAGGAACCCCACAATTTAAACCCCTATAGTAGGAGTCGCGCGGAGACGGTGTTTAGGCCGCGCTCCGGCTCGACGACCTCAGCTTGGAGGGCTGTTGCTTCGAAAAGCCTCGAAGGTGGTGCGTCAGACGCTTCGGGCTTTACAGTAGGGTTTAGGGTGCAAGGTTTAGGGTTTAGGGTTAAGGTTTAGGGTTCAAGGTTTGGGGTTTAGGGTTCAAGGTTTAGGGTTTAAACCTAGGGTTCAAGGTTCAAGGTTTAGGGTTTAGGGTAGGGTTTAAGGTGAGACTCTGCTGCAACTCCGGTCTGGGAGTGTCAAAGCGGCTGCTTCTGGGGCCATGGGGAGGTCCCTGCAAAATTGCACGATGATGCGGCCTGCAACCCCCCTTAACCCGAAACCTTCGCCCTGCATGCAAATGAGATGCAACGACCGGGTGCTCCGTTCTACTCGCTCCTTCTGGGACGTAAAGGAGTGAGGGGTTTAGGGTTTTGCGTTTACGGGTGGGGTTGGGGCTTGGGAGGAGTTGGGAGTATTGAAGACGTTCGCGGGAAGTCGGAAGGACTGCACCCGTGTGTTTTTGCAGACCTTACCCTGCCTCGGCAGGGTACTTGGAGGGTCGGGGGACTTAGTAAGTAGATAGTGAGTAGACTTATAAGTATCCGAAAATAAGGGACCCTAATTGGGGTTATGGTACTTATAAGTCCCCAAAATAACCAGTTACTAAGTCCCCCGACCCTCCAAGTAATGGGTCTAGACAGGAACTCCTCGGCTTTCTGCTACATTCTGCTACACTAGATGGAAGCTGGAATGCTTCAGACTCGGCGGAAGGGATTGAGAAGCTCTTGTACAGTCGTTTACTGTTGGTTGGGCTTCGCAGTTTAGCTTCGTCTGTCGTGTCTAAGTTGTCATATTTTGGGCGCCGTGGGTTCAAGGTTTGCTCGTTGAGGGTGAGGGAAGCGTCCCTCGTGGCTCAAAGGGTTTGAGCTATGTTCAGGGGAAGGCTGGGTTCGCGTGTTGAGGATGTCAACCTTACTGGCAGAAAGGTTTAAAGGGTGTCTCGGGTGCAAATTATGACCCCTAAACCCTAAACCCTAAACCGTATGGTGCAAGGTGTGGAGGGTGGGAGGTTCCCTAAACCCTAAACCCACCCCATCCTTCAGTTTACGCCGAGTGGTGGTTTAGGGTTTGGCCAAACGGCTTCATCTCCAGAGCTCCCAAGCACAAGAGCGCTGCACCCCCTGACCCCAACAGCCCTAAACCCTACAACACTAAACCCTTAAAACCCCACAACACTAAAGCCTTAAACCCCGCACCCTCAACCCCAAACCCTTAAACCCAGCACCCCACCCCCTAAACCCTAAGAAACCACAGGAGCCCAGGCCCTAAACCTTGGGGCGAGATGCCATCTGATGGACCTCAGAGCCGCTCTGCGGATCCCATACCTGCAACGTCCCAGACCCCCGGGAGGATCTAGAAAGTAGATCCCCTAATTTGGGGCCCTATACTACTAAGGGTACTTTATAGGAACCCACATTAAGGGATCTACTTTTTGGATCTTTCGGGGGTCTGGGACGTGGCATCCGGGGTTTGGGGCTTAGGCTGCGTTCTTGTGAAGGGATTGATTTAGATTAAGTTACCATAATGGGGATCTATAAGGGCTCCTTCAAGGGATCCACAGTAAGGATTTACGGATTCAATTAAAGCTACCAGAGGAAGAATCTAGAGTAAATAATATGGCTTCTTTGTCACGGTAACTTAGTTTCAATTCCTTCACGAGAACCCAGTAGACCCAGGATGCAAACTTTCCCAAACCCCAAGTCACTACAAACGTTAAACCCCTAAACCCCTAACCCCTAAACCCCTAAACCCCTAAACTCTACACTCCTGAACCCCTAAACTGTAAACCCCTAAACCCTCAACTCCTAAACCCTCGACCCGAGACCACCAAAGGCCCAGAGCAAAAGGCTCCGAAAGTACCATTATAAGTATAGTATTATGGCCCCAAAACCCTATTCTAATAAAGGCCCCTATCTTCTAGTATCCCTTATAGTGCTGGTATCCCTTGTAGTCTCCTACAGCTCCACAATTACCGAGCCATCGAAGTTCAGCCTAGGCCGCCAACCCAAAGCAACCTTTGCTTTACACGGATCCTTTAAAGGGGCTAATGTAGGAACCTGATTAAGAAACCCTGTGCCTGTAACTCCAAAATAGTAGGATTCATGTATGCAGAACCCTAATAAAGGCCCAAGGTTTCTTACGTTGCACACCGAATCCAAAATGCTTCGGCCCTTCCTCAGCCCGGGGTCCAAAGCATACGAGAGTTTGGTGTTGATCCTCTTTGGATTCCTTATGATAAGGGCTTAGGGTTTAGGGTTTAGGGTTTATGGTTTAGGGTTTATTTAGGGTACTATACTAGGGTCCCCTAGTTTCGGAAACTCCCACATGGCCCACCAACTCTAGAAGTTCAACAACCTAAGCTCGGCTGATGCAACCTTGAAGCCAACCACCCCCCAAGGCTCCGAAAACCGAAGCAAAAACTTTAATACCCTAAACCCCGAAAAGCTAAGCTCGAAACCCCCGAAACCGTAAACAACAAACCCCCAAACCCTAAACCCTAAACTCCTGAACCCGGGCTTAGGGTCCGAAACCAATGAACCCCAAACTGCCCTCCAAAATGCTCTAAATGTTCAGCCCCTGGCTACCCTAAGCCCGAGAGCCGAAGAAACTGATGGGAGGCCAAAAAGGCGGTTTAAGATTCTTGGGGGTAGGGATTCCTTTGTGAACCCTATTTTGAGAACCCTAATCCCTACTAAACCCCCATAGGCTAAAACCCGTTTTGGCCTCCTATGAGAAACCTTCAGCTTCAGCTTCAACTTCGGCCCAAGCCGCTCGCACCAGCCCATCGAGACCACTTGAGAAGACGGAGGCGCCGAAACCGTCGCACTGCCTCGGTTTTATGGGGTGTATGGTTTTAAGTTTAGGGTTTTGGGTTTTGGGCTTCGGGTATAGGGCTTTAGGGGTTTGTGGTCTAGAGCTTCGGGGTTCAGGGGTTAGGGCTTTAAACCAGCGTTCCTAGGCATCGGGCCAATCCCATCTTCCCGGAAGGGCTATGCCCAATGCTGATGAGCATGACTCCGCATTGGTCCTCTGTGTTGCTTCGACCTTCACACCTTGAACCGGACGCTAGCCGTCACAGCTATTAAGGTTTTAGGGTTTATGGTTGAGTGGAACAAAGCTCAGCAGCCTAGGTGAGAAATCTCGTTCGGACTGACAAACGTCGTTGACATGTACAACTGTACGCAACATCGTAGCTGCTGCGGATGTATGGCACTTCGTCGAAGCGTCTCACTAAACTTATTGTCTAAACACTCAACCCTGCCTGCGCTGAACGCCACCAGAAGTTCTGCATAGCGGGCACCTTACAAACCCGAACCTTCAGCTACTAGATGAGGGTGGATAGCTGTTGGTGTTTTTGCACCCAACACCTGCAATCCTGAAATCTCAACCCGAATCTAAGTCAAGTCTTCCATTCTTGTTATCCGGTTATTGGTATCACATTGTTATTCTTTTGGTACGTCTAGCTTGTCCTTTTGCCACCTTTGCCGAAATGAGTGCTATTACTAATTACGACAATCACTTCGACCCTATGCCTATCCCTAAATCCACACTCCGTCAGCCACAACACATTCACCTGATACAACTCAGGTCATGGCCCTTGCACCTGAGTGTAGGGTTTCGTGGAGTTCAGGATCTAGTGTGTGGGACGTAGAATGGACGGTTTCGGGAAAGGGAATAGCTGAGTAAGTGTTTGAGCCTCAAGGTTTAAGGATCCAGGGGCTCAGCTGTGGACTTAGGATGGATGGTTTTCGATTTAGGCTTTCGGTTTTGGTTCGTTACTTGTGCGGACGCTTCGTCCAACTGATCGTAGTTGAAAACCCTCCTACCGGCAGGAGCCGGTTGGGACTCGGGAGGCTTTAGGGTTTAGGGTTGGCGATGCAAGCTTACTCAAACACAGGGTTGGCTCCAAAGACAAACAACAAATCCTAAACGATGAAGTCAAGAGAGCTCTTAGAGAGTCCTTGGATCCAGGATGGCGCAGTACTGACGGCTCTTGCCATCCATTAGTAAACGGCACAGCAGTACGCAGTTATGATAGTATAGTAGCAGCACTCATAGAGTCGCAATACCAAGGAGCCGAAGGGAGGGGCTCCACATGACGCCACACTTCGTAGCAATTCTGGTTTAGGGTTTAGGGTTTAGGGTTTAGGGTTTAGGGTTTTGCAAAAAGTCGCATAAGCTTTCTATCCTACTGAAACTGCCGAACAACATCTCGAAGACGTCTCGAACAAACGCCAGCACGAATCCAAATCCTGAGTGTTCAAGGCATTGTCTGGACCGTCGTTTGTAATGATCCGGATCTCTGCCGGGACTTTGACAGAAAAACCCGTCAACACTCTATGTCGAAAACAGTGGTCATTTGCGTCAAGTTTGTGCCAGAGTCCAAGCTTTTCAAGTTTTCGATTCAGCACTGAAGGTATACGATATGACCGTTCGGGCTTGAGGCTTAGAGTCTGGGGTTTCGTGCTTCGCGAACGGGAGGTGTGTCGGGCTTGGGATGTGGAATTTGGACCTTCAAACCCTGAACCACCTTACACTCCCTCAAACAGACCCAAGTCTAGTCCCATGATCCTCTAAGTAGGGTCCCAAACCCTTAAACCCTAAGCCCTAAGTCCCTAAACCCTAAACCCCTTCAAACCCTGAACCTCAAAAAGCCCAAGTCCAGGACAGCGGTGACCAGGTTCCGGCCTCCCCCAATTGAGTGCGAGCTCCCCAGCTTTCAAGGTTTAGGGGTTAAAAGGGTCCAGAGCCCAGGGTTTAATGTACGGGCCTTAACAAGTAGAATAGGGTTTGGGGCTCTTTTATAGTAAAACCATAATAAGGAACCCCAAAATAGTATTGGTAATTATTTAGGCTTCTATGGTAGGGCTGTAGTGTCTGGGGTTCAAGTGTCAGCGGGGATGGCTGCGCAAGAAAATTTTAAGGGTTTTGGACTCAGGGGGCACCGGTTCGGTCATAATGCAGACTCCTCATCAACGGGCGCCCATCCGGTCACAAGGATCATTCGTCCTTAGGCCCTTCAAGAACAGGGTTTATCAATCCATGATCTACATGAACTCTAAAACCCAAACTTCAAAATTAAACCCTAAAACCTGAACGACCCCAAACTTGATGCTTTTGTTCGCCTCGAACTCTCAAACCTAGCCCCAAGTTCGTACTCGTACCTACGGTTGCATTGCTTCTCAGATTACCAACACATACCTGTAGATCCTGAAAGCCCTCCAACAAGCCTATCCCACCGTTCATAACCATAGTTATCAAAGCATACATGACCCGAAAACCGTAAACACTACCCAGGCACCCATGATGCCACGAGCCCCCGTACTTGGTAACTGGGAGGATCAGCCCTGACCAACAAATCCAGGTATGCAGAGGCCTTGATGATTAGAACAGCCTTTGGGGATATGTTATACGGTTGATGATATAAATCCTGCATGACCCATAATAGGGAATATACCAGAATTTCCATAGTTTAGGGTCCTTAAGGTAATGCAGGATTTATATCATCAACCGTAGTATACTGGTATTAAGAGTTCTACTAAGGAACCTCAGGGCTGGCATCATCAATCGTTTATGCTGCTAAAGTTCTTGAAATCTCGAAAGTGGAAAGTGGATCAAGATTCATGCTTCCTGGCCTCACTGTGGATTTCGAGTTTCGGGGGCTCTCAGAGTATATAGTGGAGGCTTCGGGACTAGGGCTTCCGGGAAAAAGTCTGGGGTTTTTACCCCTGGGGTGTTAGGGTTTTGGGCATTAATTTAGGGGCCTTAATAACTGCCCAAAAGATTTTGGGGGTTCCTTATTATGAGTATTTATAGTGGTATACTGCCAAAACCCTATTCTAATCAATAAGGCCCCCATATTATAGAACCCTAGTATAGATCCCTTGTAGGCCCCTTTTAAAGGAACCGTTTGAAGGGACCCTATTCTAATCCTTAAGGCCCCTATACAGCGAACTCCAGAAATTTGGAACATGGATTTAGAATGGTTAGTGCTGGGATTACCCTATACTTTATCTTAAGGGCATGAGGATATTGATGTTCCAACCTTCTGGCTTCTACTGTAGGGCTTTAGGACTATAGAACCCTCGTATAGATCCCTTGTAGACCCCTTTTGAAGCAACCCTTTAAAGGGACCCTATTCTAATCATCAAGGCCCCTATAGTAGGGCTTTTGGATTATGGACAAGAGCTCTTAGGTTCCGGCCGTGGGCAGCTGCCACACTCGGCCCCCCGAAGTCTAATCGCGCCGCAGGCCGGCGCAAGCCGGCGCACTCGTCCTCAGAGCAAGGTTTAGGGATTAGGGTTTTTTTATTGTTCTCTGAGATTAGGATTTAAGGTTTAGGGATTAGGGTTTTTCTTATTGTTCTCAGAGATTAGGGTTTAAGGTTTAAGTTTAGAGTTTAGGGTGTTTTGGGAAGGATAAGGGTTTAGGGCTGAGGATCGTGGTGTTCGGATTTTGCGCAGCCGTGCTTTCGGGGTTTTTGTGGAGATGAGGTCGGGGGCCATAGAAAGAAGCAGCAAAGGCCAGAAAGTGTCTTACCTGATCCCGTGTCTTTGAATCCGCCTGTGACTTGGGGCTGACAACTCCGAAGCATGCATGGTGGGTTTGAGTACAGGTCAGCGGTTTGGTGTACGAGAGGCTTACCAGGCTTGCTCTTATTCTTCATCTCTTGTGGCGTTCAGCGAGGATCCCACAATCCCAAAACGTGTTTGCGTAAGTGCAGCTGTGGCTTCAGAGAGGTATGACGAAAGTCGCCGTCCCATCATCTTGATTAAGGCGCATTCGAAGATTGTAAACGACGAAAGTGCTTGAGAATACAGCCAGCATTGCTATCGGGATTGCCAAGGCTGTAGTCATCCGAGTGTCTGTCTCTTGGAGGGCGGCCAGGAAAGGAACGTTGCTACGCTGCTAGAAATTGTGACAAGGACCGAGGAGACGCCAAAGAGAGTCGGTTGTCAATTTAGCATGGACGTCGCAGCTTATTCGATCTCAGATCATGCCATGCGTGTGCACCTTGCATACAATGCATGCAATGCGCACATTCATTTCACAGTGGTAGATAACATACATTGCATGCTGGGCATAGAGTACACGCATTAATTACGCAGACTGCATGCAATAAACGTACTACATACACTGCATGCATTACATGCATTGCATACATCACCTACCGTAGTTACATACATAAAGTGAATACCATACCAACCATGCCGACAATAACCAAAATACAATCCATGCTACCCATACGGACCACACCAACTGTAGCCCCCATACCCTACATTCATTCGTGCGGACATACATGCGCACCCACCAAAATGCGTACATTCATACGTCCATAAATCCATGCATGCATGCGCACATACACACGTAGATGCATAGATACATAGATACATACATGCATGCATACATTACATGCATACATGAATACAGACAGACAGACAGACAGAGAGACAGACGGACGGACGGACGGACGGACAGACGGACGGACAGACAAGCCTACAAACAGACACACATACACGATGCCAACGAATGAAACGACTGCATCGGGACTTCGGGTAACATGTGCTAGCATTCTCATCACCAGCCGCAACATCGACATCAACGTCAAGTACAGAAAAGCGACGAACACGTTGCCGCCGCCGTACGGCAGTAATGGTTTGCAAAGCAACAGCTCCTGACCCGAAGACACTCCATCCCTTGAACCACCCTACACACGAAACTCCGAAAAACAGCACACACACACACACACACACCTTAAACCAGAACCTCAACCCTCAACCCCACATGCTAAAGCCTTATGCTCTAAGCTTAAGACCCTGGCCGTGCCAAGAACGACCCGGCCGAAGACCAAGCGATGATCGGCCGAAGCGATGGCCACCTTTTAGGGTCTGAAGGTGGCTTTCTACATCTACATCTGTACAATAGGAGGGTTTAGGGTTTAGGGCCGTGCAGTATGATCTCATACCATACATGTACAGTTCAAGACAAGATACTGCAATACAAGACAATACAATACAACATAAAGTAAAGTAAGCGGCTTGAAGTACGGTACATGGTATGGGATTGTATTTTGCTGGGGCTTAGAGTTGTTGCATACTACAATTATATTGCGGGGATTGTAAGGGGATGAGAGCAAAGCTTGTGGCTTCGGCTTACTTTGACAGCGGCACTCTTCAAAGCACGGGCCCTCAGCCTTCCAGCGTTGCTTTATGAAGGAAGGATCCTCGAGGACTACTAAACCCTAAACCCTAGAACGCAAGCCGTAGACCCTAAACCCTAGACTCCCTAGACCCTAAACCCTCGATCCTAAACCCTACTGTTGTGGCTGCGAGCCTTGAAAGTGCTTTTTCTAAGGTTTGAAAATCTGTGCCACTCTCGGGTTTCCCCGTCCTTCCGATCTTGAGGGCCCCTTTATGCTAAATGTAAACGTAATAAGGGCCCCTTATGCTACATGTACTCATAATAAGCGCCCTACTATGATACGTGGTCCGGCTTGGGGTCTAGCTGCTTGGTCGCAGACTGAGGATCCTAGGACTCCGCGCGCACCTGAAGCTTGACATGAATAGTCAGGAAAGGATGTTGTGGGGCTTGAGCTCTGACGACACCGACAACACCTCCGTCGGATTGATATGGGAGTTGCCGCAAATAGGGGGCCCTAAATAGTAGGATCCTTATTACAAGGACCCCAACGTAAGGTACCCCTATTTCGGAAACTCCCATCTGAGGCTGGAGGATAGGGCAAGGTTTGTTTCTGGTGCAGGGCGCCCTTGTCTGTAGGGCACCTAAATCAACGCGACAGGGGCACACGACTGCTTCACCGAAGCCTCAGGAGTTTCCTCAGGGTGCTTCGTTTGTAGAATTGCTCTTGCCTCAAGTCTTCACTGACCACTTCGAGGGTAGTCATGGGAAGAGGATCATGACAACCCCGGCTACCCGACTTCTTACCCAAATTGCTTTCTCTAACTGGTGTAGAGAAGCCACAGGAAAAACCCCTTGGAAGATCCGCTGCCTCGTACGGCGCTGCCTCACCAGACCTTGCAGCCGGAAGTGAGGATTTTGGGCTTATCAGGTTTTTGGGCTTTTGAGGGCTTCAGAAGATATAGGGTTCTAGGGTGTTTTGCGGTTCGGGTTCTGGGGTTTAGGGAATTTAAGGCTTCAGAGTCCAGAGACTTTCAGGGCTCCAGTAGTTGAGATGGTCGGGAGGGTGCGAGACGTGGAGGCTTCAGTGAGCCAGGGCCTTTCGGAGGGCTGAAGGCCATAAAGGGCTTCGCCAGGCATTTGGGCTAAATGTAGGGGCCTTAAAAATTAGACGAGGGCTTTGGGGCCCATTATAGTATAGATATAACATTCATAACAAGGAACCCCCCCCCAAAAAAATAGTACAGAGAATTATTTAGGCCCCCGTACTACGGCCCCAAAAAAGCCCCAAAAGCACCAGCGGCCTCCAGGCGGTGCAGCAAACCGTCGTGGAGCCCTTCGTTGCCGAGAAGGGATCGGCACTCAGCAGCGAAACCTCTGAGGACTCGAGGGGCTCACGGTTTAGGGTTTCGGGTTTAGGGTTTAGGGCTTAGGGCTTAGGGTTTTTTTTTTTTTTAGGCTTAGGGTTTAGGGTTTGGGGTTTAGGGTTTAGGGTTTAGGGTTTAGGGTTTAGGGTTTGGTTTAGGGTTTAGGGGGAGAAGGTGCCAAATTCAGGCCAATGTAGGGCCTTGATAATAGAACAGGTTATAATAAGGAACCCCGAAAACCCTATTCTAACTATTAAGGCCCCTACATTAGGAACAACCAACGAAAAGGGGCTGACTTGAGGCTCATCTTGTTGGGAGCTGGAATTGGGGTTTGGAGGTATAGGCTGTTGGAAACAGGGTTGAGACATCTGAATTCGGGGAAGAAACATTATCAAGGGGTGCACTGGTTTCATTGGGCTCAGGGATTTTTTGGGAAAGGCGGTTCGGAAGCCATCGAATTAAGACTTCTGCCAACAATGCTTGTCCTGCCACAGACTCATACCTTGCAAACACAGTCAGCGATGTTGCTGCAGTGGAACCTGTAACGGAACCTGTAACGCACGTCGCGATCAGCCGTCAACCATAACATTTGAGCCACCTAAACCCTAAGCCCTAATTCCCCACCCTCGGTGTCTGGTTGTTAGATTTTAAAGTCAGCTATTACTCCTGGAGTGCCCAACCCCACAGACTACCGTGAGAATCAAACTACCGTGAGAGTCCCGGGAGTGCACAACCCCACAGACTACCGTGAGAATCCCTGGAGTGCCCAACCCCACCGACTACCGTGAGAATCCCTCGAGTGCCCAACGGAACACCAGGGTTTAAGGTTTAGGCTCGGGTTCTTTAGGTCTTCGGATTTGCGTGTAGGAAGGACAAGGCGCTAGGGGTGTGTTGTTCGAAGTATATACAATAATCTCAATGCCTTCTTTTCAGGACCTATTCCAAGAAGTCCCCCTTGATGCCCCACGCAAGTTTGAAGCCACGTTCAAACTTCTAAGCCCAACCGCGCTCATGTAAGAAGAGCTGGCTCTAAGCCCTAAGCCCTGAAGTTTGGGGTTTGGCGGTGACCTGAACCCGGAACCCGGGGCTGCAGGGTTGAGGATATATATATATATATATATGTATGTACATAGAAAATATACATATATATATATATACACACACATCAGATATGTACAGATATATATATATATAGATAGATATGTATAGAGAGATATATAGATAGAGAGAGATAGATAGATAGCTTGGTAGATATGATCGAGGCTGCGGCGGGCGACGGCCCCAAAGGGCCATCTTCGGCACCTCGGTGGCAGTCCGAAGTCCGTTGACAAAGGAATGCTCCCAAGTTCACGCGAGGATACCGCAAACCACCACCACCACCACCACCACCACCACCACCACCACCACTTCCACCACCCATATGTATGATGATTTTGGACAAGGTTCGCATTTTAGGGTTTAGGTTTGGGTTTGGGGCTTAGGGTATGAGTTTTGAAGCATCTCATTTTGCCGCTTTGCCTGCATGAAGCTCTGCACAGCGGTGACAGGCCTGGGGGACCGGTGGGTGGATCGGGAACAATTGCTCCAATATCTGCTACCTGTAAATATGCAGTAAGTGTCGAAATATGTGTATAAAAACATATGTGTATGTATATATATATATATATACATCCATGTATGTCTGTATGTATGTATGATGTATGCATGCATGCATGCACGCGTTTGCAGAGAGAGAGAGAGAAAGAAAGAGAGAGAGAGAGGGACACTGTATGCATACATACATGTATGTATATGTGCATAGTTACATATGTACATATACATATACATATACATATACATATACATATACATGTACATGTACATGTACATGTGCATGTGCATGTACATGTGCATACACATACACTACATGCGCATACCGTATGTGTACATACAAAAAACTCCCTACGTGCTTACATGCCGTGTGCATATACCCACGCAAAGAATGTTACTTCTCGTAACAATTATGGTGTGTATGTAACTTTTTTTATACAAACACTCGCTACACGTTGTATTCATGTGTACACAGAATGAGAGAGAGCGAGAGAGCGAGAGAGAGAGAGAGAGAGATTTTTAAAAAAAAATTATAAATCTACAAAAAGAAAGAGGGAGAGAGAGAGAGAGAGAGAGATAAAGAGCTTGTATGTGCAGAATGAATCAAAAGGCAAACGTATCTCTGCGTACATGTGTATATACACACAGATAGAAAGAGAGATAGATAGACAAGTAGGTAGGTAGACAACTAGTCTAGACAGCAAAAGACTGATAGATAGCCAGGCTGTTGGACTCTAGACAGACAAACAGATACGTACGATTCCTTCTTTGTCTCCTGTCTTCCATCTTGATGTATTCCTCCTCCTTCTCTTCCGCGGGACCCCCATCAACAAATCGGGTCCCCTTCGTCACTCGTTTTCTTTGACTCTCTCTTCTTGTTTTCCATCTGGCCTTGTTTCTTTCGTTCGCCCCTGTTGTCTTGATGTTCTTCCCTTCCTTGTGTCCTTCTGTTCTACCCAAAAGCCTCCAAAGTAAGCACAAGCGACAAAAACCCTGAAAACTAAAACACGATACCCTACCCCGGACACCCCCAAGTCTGGCAGTACAGCTCCAGCGCTGACACCCTGCCGCAAAACACACGAAAGAGATGAAGCTCAAAAACTCTAGGCCAAAACCCGCTCACTAATGGCAAAGCAGCATACCCAACGAACACTAAACGCCAACCCAAGACCTACAACTCACTCACTGATGGGCACTCTCGCGATCAGACTGTCAATGGCAGGATTTTTTCGCTATGGCGGAGTGGCGGGGGGACTTGGGAACCCCCCTGTAGAGTTTAGCTCCCTTCTCTTTACACTCCGGCCTAAATTGGCTGCGAGTGTTTTCACACATATGGCTGCCTTGCTACCCTCGTGCTTGGCATGAAGAGCAACAACAACAGCGACCACCACCGTCCCCATCCTCCATCCATTACAAATTTGGAATGTAAGAGCCCATACTGCGTAGCCGGTTTGACCATGCCACTTGGATGTTCGGCTTAGAACCAAAACACCAAGAGTACCACCCGGAAAAAGGTCCTTGGACGCATTTCTGTACACCACGTTTGATACTCCGCTGTAGGGCGGGGTGGAATCCAAACGTGATCCAAGAAGGCCTGCCGAGCTTCTGGGCAACAGGTTTTCTGGTAGAACTACATGGGTGAAGAACCTGAGGATCGGCAAAATTGTCAACGAATCGCCTACTGAGTTCATTCATTGCCTCATTCATGCCTCGAGTCGTGTTGGTTAGCATCCGGACCCTGCGAGCAAGACCACAAGGCCATGATCGGTGAACATGTTGAGGATGCGCGCTCGAGGTGTCAAGAGGTTTGCTGATGTTGGAGTCGCGGTATTTGGGCATAGTTTCAAAGCGACCAGTGTTCACATTCTTTTTCACTGTGACCTCCAGGAACTGGATTTCCTCGGCATTCCATGCTTCGCATTGCACCTTGAAGAATGCAGCCAATTTTCGCAATTCCCAGAAAAACTCTTTGGCACGTTGCCTGTTGGAACCCAGGATGAGGATGTCATCCCTAAATCTCCAGTATCCGTCTATGCCGTGGTGTGCTTGAATGGTGCGCTTGACTGCCCAGGGATCTTCAGCAAGTGCTGCGAAAGCACTGTCCGCGACCTCACCCGAATGTGGCAGGCCCATCCCTGTGCCTTTAGTCACCCTCCAAATTCTTTCGGGTAATTCACGGGATTCAACGAACTGGTAGTACAGGAGTGTCATGAGTGTTGTAGTGAAAAGTGGGAGGATTTCGCTGCGAATGACTTTCGAACAAGCTCCACACAACTCCTCACTGGTGCCCGAAAGGTAGTAGTCCTTGATGTCCAGCTTCATGAAAAAGTGGTTGGGGGTCGCCGTGTAACTGGAAATGCTTTTGATGAACTGCGCGGTGTCCTTGACTAGGTACATGCGCTTGTTGAGGTCCTTCATCAGCTCATGCGAGATCCATTTACTACCTCCTGCGAACGCGTAGTCGGGGAGGGCATGGACTGGGCGATGTGATACTTCCCCGTTTGGTTTGTGGGATTTACACGTCGGTTTCAATGTAGCAATCAAGCGTCCGTGCTGCAAAGATTTCCGCAATTCCCTGGCCAGCTGGGGTTCACCACACTGTTCGCGATCATGGAACAGATGAGACTGTATGAATTGAAGGCATTGTCAATCTCCGTTCTCGTCATGAACGTGGGGAACTCTTCATAAACACCGTTTGTGAGCAACTCCAAGTGGACCATCTTGTGCTCCGCCTCCGTTTCCAAAGCATATCCACCGTCCTTGTCATTCGGGATGGCTTTCAGGCCGGATTGACGAAGCAAACGAAGTCCCCATGAAGTTAATGGTAACACGTTGGTATAGGAACGATTGTATCGCACTCTCGATATGGCTTTCTGGTATTCACTTAGGACACACTCCCTCATGTTCCGCACCATCCACTCCACCTCAGGCGCTATCAGATGATCACACGTAGGCAACTTTCTGTAGCGAACCGTGATAGATGGTCGGGAACCGCTGTCTGCCCTGTGATACCACTGCCACTTCAAACGATTGCCCCAATGGTTGAGGTCCTGGACCACATGGTCGATTCTGGGGAGAACTTTGGTGCACAAAATGTGCTTTTTGTGGTACCTGGCAAGGATCCAAATGATTGGCCATTCCACCTCCTCACCCCCAGGAGTGTAAACCGAATGGCTTGTGTGATCATACACATAGACTTGGTCACGCAGTCGAGCGAAGGCAATAAACCAGAACCAATCCGCCATACTTGACCCCCTCATCATCCGCAAGAGTCGCCTAGCATGCCGGTGATTCCAGTTGTGCTGCATTCTAGCTCTTCTCACCTCCTGCCTCCATACTGCTTGCCTTTGTGTCCTCCTTTCTTGCCGTGTTTGCCTTTCTTTCCTTTGCCTTGGTGCTTGGACTTCCCTTTGGATTTTCCTTTGTTCTGGTGCTTGCTGGTGCCGTGGGTGTGTTTTGTATGCTTGTGGTATGCATGTTCCCACCAGCCCTTTCCGTTGCCGATGCTGCTGGTGGCATGTGGCGCGTGCTGCCCCGGGGCCGCCCCCGGGGATTGGCCGTTTTTTGTATTTTGGCCGTTGCTGGTGGTTCTTGCTCCTTGGCCTTTGCCTTTTCCACTACCTCGAAAAACTTCGACAAGCTGAGTGACGGCATCGTGCTGATTGAAATTCTGCTCATCCTTAGTGATGGCTTCCTCGGCACCGTCCTGGATTTCCATAGCCTCATCGTCGTGAGCCTGATGCTTCGAGACCTCCTCGGAGACAAAATGGCTAACGAGGTTCTTGAGGATGTTTTCCGGGCTTTGCTGCGAGAACTCCTTCTTGTCTTTCTCCTCCTTCAGCCTGTCCTTGTCTTTCTTTTCCTCTGCTTTGCTGATTTCCTCGATGACCTTCTTGACCACCTGGTTGTATTTATCATCAACCTTACTATTAACCAGAACAGGATCCACAGTAAGGCGATCAGGTGAGTCGATGGCGAGGTTTCGTACATCTGCATCCTTTGCGACTACCTCGTCAATGGCTGCAATGCACTTTGTACGCAAGGTGTCCTTGTTGGCAAAGGTGACCATTGTATCTCTGTGTGCTTGCAGTGCTTCCAGCTCGATGCTTTTGATGAGGCGTGTCATGCTGTGGTGTATGATACGCATGGCATCGCGGCGACATGTACCTGATGGAATAGTCACCTTAATGTCGGTGTTACCTCCCCGGGTTTCCGTCCAGGCTTCATCCAACTCCCCAAATGTGGTAGACGATGCAAATGGACGGATACCAGGTGGGTACCGCTTAGACTGCGTGTCCTCGGACATGATGGTGTACTTCGCGCGGGCATCGTCATAGGTTTTGGCACTGCGGGCATACTTCCGCACATCCTTCATGAACAACAGGGAAGTTTTGTCAATACACTGTACGATAGCATCTGGTAGTTTTGGATTCGGTGCTCTCATCATCCTGACTGCATTGCTGGCAGCTTGTGTAGCTGCCCCCTCGACCACACTAGCAGCTGCTGACGACCAAGCTTCAGTAAATACCTCTGTTGGGCACTGCTGTTGCTGTGGTTGTGGTTGCTGCTGTATGGCTTGCTGGTTGGACTGTTGATTGGTAATGATTTTGGCAAGTTCGCTGGTAGATGCTGCTGCTTGCTTTGCAACCTCCATCATCTGTATCATACTCTGCTGTGATTCTTGAAACATTTTCATCATCATCATGTGCTGTAGGCGCATCTCAGCCATCGTATCTTCTAGCTTGGGAACTTTCGTAGGTGGACCTTCCTCCCGTTCCAGTCCGGCAATAGCTTCCGCAGCTGATGGTCGGGAAGAAGGGTCGGTAGAAGACATAGCCGCGCGAAGAGCGAAGTAGAAGGTGACAACCACGCACTCACTGATGGGCACTCTCGCGATCAGACTGTCAATGGCAGGATTTTTTCGCTATGGCGGAGTGGCGGGGGGACTTGGGAACCCCCCTGTAGAGTTTAGCTCCCTTCTCTTTACACTCCGGCCTAAATTGGCTGCGAGTGTTTTCACACATATGGCTGCCTTGCTACCCTCGTGCTTGGCATGAAGAGCAACAACAACAACAGCAGCAACAGCAACAGCAACAGCAACAGCAACAGCAAGCAGCACACAACAGCAGCAGCAGCAACAGCAGCAACAGCAACAGCAACAGCAACAGCAACAGCAACAGCAGCAGCAACAGCACACAGCAACAGCAACAGCAACAGCAACAACAGCAACAGCAACAGCAACAGCAACAGCAACAGCAACAGCAACGGCAAGCAACAACAGCAACAGCAACAGCAACAGCAACAGCAAGCAGCAACAGCAACAGCAACAGCAACAGCAACAGCAACAGGCAACAGCAACAGCAGCAACAGCAACAGCAACACAGCAACAGCAACAGCAACAGCAACAGCAACAGCAACAACAGCAACAGCAGCAACAGCAACAGCAACAGCAACAGCAAGCAGCACACAGCAACAGCAACAGCAACAGCAACAGCAACAGCAACAGCAACAGCAACAGCAGAAACAGCAACAGCAACAGCACAGCAGCAGCAGCAGCAACAGCACAGCAGCAGCAGCAACAGCAACAGCAACAGCAACAAACAGCAAACAGCAACAGCAACAGCAACAACAGCAGCAACAGCAACAACAGCCACAGCAACAAGCAACAGCAACAGCAACAGCAACAACACAACAGCAACAACAACAGCAACAGCAACAACAGCAACAGCAACAACAGCAGCAACAACAGCAGCAGCAGCAACAACAGCTCCACCACCACCACCACCACCACCACCACCACCACCACCACCACCACCACACCACTTCAACCACCCATATGTATGATGATTTTGGACAAGGTTCGCATTTTAGGGTTTAGGTTTGGGTTTGGGGCTTAGGGTATGAGTTTTGAAGCATCTCATTTTGCCGCTTTGCCTGCATGAAGCTCTGCACAGCGGTGACAGGCCTGGGGGACCGGTGGGTGGATCGGGAACAATTGCTCCAATATCTGCTACCTGTAAATATGCAGTAAGTGTCGAAATATGTGTATAAAAACATATGTGTATGTATATATATATATATATACATCCATGTATGTCTGTATGTATGTATGATGTATGCATGCATGCATGCACGCGTTTGCAGAGAGAGAGAGAGAAAGAAAGAGAGAGAGAGAGGGACACTGTATGCATACATACATGTATGTATATGTGCATAGTTACATATGTACATATACATATACATATACATATACATATACATATACATATACATGTACATGTACATGTACATGTGCATGTGCATGTACATGTACATGTGCATACACATACACTACATGCGCATACCGTATGTGTACATACAAAAAACTCCCTACGTGCTTACATGCCGTGTGCATATACCCACGCAAAGAATGTTACTTCTCGTAGTGCTCACAGCAGCCACCTCGGGGCAAGAGCCCCCCGCTCGTCCAAGGAGTTTGACACTTCTGTGCGACGCTGAGAGAGAGAGAGTACATGTGCATACACATACACTACATGCGCATACCGTATGTGTACATACAAAAAACTCCCTACATGCTTACATGCCGTGTGCATATACCCACGCAAAGAATGTTACTTCTCGTAACAATTATGGTGTGTATGTAACTTTTTTTATACAAACACTCGCTACACGTTGTATTCATGTGTACACAGAATGAGAGAGAGCGAGAGAGCGAGAGAGAGAGAGAGAGATTTTAAAAAAAAATATAAATCTACAAAAAGAAAGAGGGAGAGAGAGAGAGAGAGAGAGAGAGAGAGAGAGAGAGATAAAGAGCTTGTATGTGCAGAATGAATCAAAAGGCAAACGTATCTCTGCGTACATGTGTATATACACACAGATAGAAAGAGAGATAGATAGACAAGTAGGTAGGTAGACAACTAGTCTAGACAGCAAAAGACTGATAGATAGCCAGGCTGTTGGACTCTAGACAGACAAACAGATACGTACGATTCCTTCTATGTCTCCTGTCTTCCATCTTGATGTATTCCTCCTCCTTCTCTTCCGCGGGACCCCCATCAACAAATCGGGTCCCCTTCGTCACTCGTTTTCTTTGACTCTCTCTTCTTGTTTTCCATCTGGCCTTGTTTCTTTCGTTCGCCCCTGTTGTCTTGATGTTCTTCCCTTCCTTGTGTCCTTCTGTTCTACCCAAAAGCCTCCAAAGTAAGCACAAGCGACAAAAACCCTGAAAACTAAAACACGATACCCTACCCCGGACACCCCCAAGTCTGGCAGTACAGCTCCAGCGCTGACACCCTGCCGCAAAACACACGAAAGAGATGAAGCTCAAAAACTCTAGGCCAAAACCCGCTCACTAATGGCAAAGCAGCGTACCCAACGAACACTAAACGCCAACCCAAGACCTACAACATGAAAAAGCTCAAACCCTAAAGCCCCTGAAGGCCCAAAACCCGAAACCTTCCTGGGACTCCTGCCCCATACTTAGATCCCTAGCAACAACCATAATTTTAGCTGTTTCTTAGGGATTATAATATCCAAAAATTAAAAGGATTATAATAAGCAAAAACATTAATAATTATTTTCAAGAACCCCTAAGACTCCGGCCCCATAGGTATGCACGGCAAAGCCACAGCTGCAAGGCTTGCCTCTACAAGACTCTCCCGCCAGAACGGGGGGTCGCGTGCTGCTGGACAGTTTGACAACTAACATACGTATAGCCCTTGTGCAGAGTGATATCTACCCCCTTGTCTTCTGTCTGATTGTTACTTTGTGGTGATCCGTGTGGCTTTTTATGGGTGGCCGCGATTCACGCCCAACACCCCCGACCGTTGAACACTCAACGTCCAAAACCACAATATCTACTACTATTGCAATTTGCATGAACAGGGATTCGATCCAGCGACAGAGTAGATAAGCAGGCTGGTTTCCCATTCTGAGCTTACGAACATCACGGCGACTGAAGCGAAGTGGGGCTTCTGAAAACTACGCGTCCCTACTGCATGTCCTTCCACTAAGGATACACGAAGTTGGTCTACATTGGAGGTTACCCGGTTTTCTGAAACACCGGTGAATATAGAAAACAGCTCATGTGTTCCTACGGGGTTGCAGTTCACGCCATGACATAACGCATCGCATTCACATCAGCATATATTACGGAATTAGAATGGAACACTGTGCGGTGCTCCAGGTTCATCATGCGCAAGGTATCCAAACCTGCTGTTGAAGAGGAATGGAATGGTCAGCACAGTAACAGCTTAAGGATCACACCCAAAACCTCCAAAGTTTTGCCGGTAGTGCTTTCTAAACCCCAGAAGCCTGAAATCTAAAGACGCCAAACTCTGTCTGCTCCAAACCTGAGGAAACCCACAAGCAGAAACCCCAAACCGCAAACCCTACGTTTGGTACGACCGGAATCCTCTCCACCCCAAACCCCCCCCCCCGGCCCCAGAGCTGGACCTCAAGGGTACGCCAGCAGCCATGGCCCAGGCTTCCAGAAGCGCTGTGATCTCGCGAGGGCACTCAGGAACTGCCAAATCCCAAAATTGCTGCTTTGGGTTTGGGTTCAGGGCTTTTCTTCTTAAAACGGGTCTAGGGTTGAGGGCTTGGGGAATAGGGTGTAGGAACCTTGCGTAAATCACGGCAGGCTTCGACACTACAACATTCTCAGTACAACTTGAGGACTTGGGGCATCCTGTTGTTTGTGGGCGCAGGGCCTAACCAGAGGTGCTCCGGCGAGACGTGCAGAGACCTATCTTTTGCAAAGGTGTAAGGGATTTTCGATCGGGATTATAGAATCACAGGACGGTGTTGTGTGGCATAAGGCCTTCCAGTATTCGGTGGTGTTTGCTAAGGTGTATCTAGTGCTCCAAGCCTTTCGGATTTAGGTGTTCCAGGATTTGAAAATGCAGGGTTTTCAAACCCTAAACCTTAAACCGTGTAAAGTTTACGTTGTCGGATTGCAAGATGATCATCGACGGATCTTGCTCGGACCCTCAAACCCTCGCATGACAATTGTCTTCCGCATCTGAGTCTCCCAAGCTTCTGCGACTTACACTTCAGATGATCATGCGAATCCTGCAAATACTGGCGTGCGTCTGAATGTCAGGCATTTCTCTTGTGCAATCACTTGTCAACCCAATTGCAGTGTGAAGCCTTACGCCAAACGACCTTGCCAGGCGAACCTTGAAATTGAGGGAGCAATACTCAAACAGCACCACCGTACTACCACTACCACTGCCACTGCCAAAGCCACTGCCACTGCCACTGACTGCCACTGCCACTGCCACTGCCACTGCCACTGCCACTGCCACTGCCACTGCCACTGACTGCCACTGCCACTGACTGCCACTGCCACTGCCACTGCCACTGCCACTGCCACTGCCACTGCCACTGCCACTGCCACTGCCACTGCCACTGCCACCACCACTATTATTACTACTACTACTACTACTACTACTACTACTACTACTACTACTACTACTACTACTACTACTACTATTACTACTACTACTACTACTACTACTACTACTACTACTACTACTACTACTACTACTACTACTACTACTACTACTACTACTGCTGCTCCTCCGTGTAAAAACACAACGGGCCTCCTGAGGGATGTCTCCTGCCGATGCAACGGCCGACCATAGCCATGCCTGGCTCAATGGTTCTGTGCGGGTTGTCTAGTCCCAAAAGGGAATAAAAGCGAAACTTTGAACCCCTTGAGCTGAAACCCCTGGTGCAAGCGATGCTCCAGTGTGCACGTCTTGGGCAATGTGAAATTTTTGTCGTTGCCATTGACAAATCATTCGGTTGATATTGAATATAAAAGTTTGA